ATCGTCATCAGCCAAGCTAAATATTTGTTCTATCGGTTTCCGTATATACATAACACGCATACGTACACACATACATACATACATACATACATACATACATACATACATACATACATGCATACATACGTATTTACATACATGTTTTACATGCATACATACATACATACATACATACATACGTACGAGTCAGGCAGATAGACAAACAGACAGACAGTCAGGCTGTCAGGCAAGCAGGCAGACAAACAGACTTGCATGCACGCGCGGCACACAAAAGTTCCTTTGCAGTACTTCCTATTACGTAACAGACGTAACATTGAATCGTAGCACGTTTCATTACGGTACATTACAATACAACCGCATACACATGCAGAGACGGACAGCAAGGCCAGCCAGACAGACAGGCAGACAAACTGACAGACAGACAAGCTAACAGACAATCAGACATAGACACAGACACAGAGACAGACAGACAGACAGACAGACAAACAGACCCACGTAATACTTGTCTGCTTTCTTGCTTGCTTGCTTGCTTCCTTACTTAATTGCTTACTTCCTTACTTACTTACTTCCTTACTTACTTGCTTGCTTACTTACTTATGTAATCTTACGTACTTACGTACTTGCTTTACTTGCTTACTTACTGTCTTCCTTCCTGTTGCCGCGTTGTTGAGACTGCGATTGTTGCTGGTGCATGTGAAAAGCTGAACACTGCTGATAGCGATGAGAAAACAGCTGCATGGTGATAACTGTGATGTGGTGAGGAGGGTAACGGTAATGCGTGAGAACATCCTTGGTACGGATCGGCACTTTTTGGAACGCGAGTGCGTTGAGCATTCAGGCACGGATGCTGTTGTTTCCATGCAAGATTTGGATTGTGCAGTTTTCGGTTGCTAGGGGGCTTCGGGAATCAAACAAGCTCATGGTGAGAAGGCTTTGAGGCTGGGATTCGGTGTGCAAGGCATGGAGGTGTCGGGTTGAAGGCAAATGGCAGGCTGTGTAAGGCGAAGGACTATAGGCAAACAGTGCAGCCCCTTCACCCCATAGTGTCTTTCTCAACAACCGGCGATTTCCATGGGCATGGTTTCGGGCCTTGGGCATCTAGAGCAGGATATAGGGGTGAAAGCTCGAAGCTGTGATCCGCAGAAGCCACCAAGGGGCTTCAGGCAGCAAGGCTTCCAGCAGGCCAGGGTCCTTTCATTCGCTCCCCCCCAGACTAAGAAGAATTCATCGTCATGAGAATTAAAACATTCAGAGCCCCGGGCTGCGGCCTCCTACTGGGCTCACGGACTTCGGAACGGCTTTGGGGGTTATGGTTAAGGGGTTCCTCGTGCTGACCTTCTGAGCTTGACAGCCTTTCAGTGTCATGGAGCTCCAAGGAAAGCTAATGACGAACATGAAAGCTGTTCTTTTGCTTTTGTAGAACCGCGGCAAACTGGGCCAGACATCTAAACATTGACATAAAAAACCCTGGTAAAGTTCGTGCACCCAAAGACTGAAGTAAAGAGGTTCTTGAAACTCCAAGCCACTAAAATCCCCCCAAAATTCTTAACACCTTAGGAGCTCAGGGCCTTCTTCGAGTGTCCTTGTAGCTCAGCTTGGCGCAGGCCCAAAGGACGTTGGCAATGTCCTGAGCCTCGGAGCTCCTCGGAGTTTCGGGTCCCCCTCAAAAAAGGGCGAAGGCACCTTTGATACATATAGATATAAATATAAATACACCTACATATAAATATAAATATAAACATAAACAAAATAAGTAAGTAAATAAATAGATACATAAACTGAAAAATAATGTAGCTAGCTAGCTAGCTAGCTAGCTAGCTAGCTGACTGACTGACTGACTGACTGACTGACTGACTGACTGACTGACTAACTAACTAACTAACTAACTATACACACATGTATATGTATATATATATACAATACATAGATACCTAGATACCTAGAAACATAGATACATAGATATACTTACATACATACATACATACATACATACAGGGCCTTTGAGACTAAGAGTACTGGTAATCACAACCAAAATAATCATACCTCGAATAGGGTGTTATGCGGTCCGGAATGCTATATATTGAGGCCTTGATAAATTGGACGGGGGCTTTGGGGCGTCTCATAGCACAGTTATGTTAAAGCTTTTTGGTCCAAACCGGAACCCCAAACGCGACTCCCGAAGCTTTACTTTACATGCTCAGCAAAGCCAGGGCTCTTGATGTCTCTTTGAACCCTCTGCGAAACGGCCTGCAACGCAGGTTCGGCATAGAGCAACCTGGATGCAAGTTGAGGGTGCAGGTTTTGGCTCCTAGGGTCTTTACACACTGTCCAAATCCACCCAGGGAGCAAACATCAGTTCATTTCCTGGGCCACTAAAACTTAAACGTGTGGGCTTGGGAGGACGGGTCTCTCAGCACTTGCATTTTAGGGCCGAAGGTTTGCTTTCGACATTGAAAACCGGCATCCCAAACAAAGAAAAGCTTGGATTGCGCCAGGCCGCAAGCATGCAAATGCCCAAAGCGTGTTGGAGCAGTGCTGTGGATTGAAGCTGTCTGCCTGGAGACAAACCTCGGTTATCCGCAAATTCCAAAAGCCCTAACCTTAAACCCAAAGCCAAAGAACATTATAATCTAAAACCCCGAGCCCTAAAACTTATTCAGTTGCATTATCCCTTGAGGCGTGCTACTCTGGCCGGGCAGATGAATCAACTTTAACGTTGTTGATCCCAGTGGGGCTTAGGGTCCTGGTGCCGACGGTTTCGGGCTTTAAGGCTGTAGGTCTTGAGCACTGCTGTTGGGTTCAGGGGCCGTTGCTTTGGGCCTTTCGGGCTTCAGGGAGGTATTAGTTGAAGTACTGCTTCGGGCTTTCATGTCCTAGCGCCTTAAACCTAGGATAAGCTAGGCCTGGGCACGCTGGCAGCAGCAGCTGCAAAGAGCTCCGCTTCTTCGTGGTGAACTTTCGCATAAGCCTAAGCATGAACATGAAGGCAGCTCAGGCTTTCCAAGGCAGGCCCCCCTTTCGGATTTCGTCAGCAAGACAAGTGGATCAAGTGGAACTCGAATGTAGAGAACCACCCATGAGTGTGTGCAAAACCTCGGCTCTCGCTCCTGGGTCAAATCAGGATCGATCTCGCGGTTTGCTATTTGATCCGAGAGGCCCAGAGCACGTTCACCAAATTCTGCTGCTGGAAGTGATGCACCTTCGCGGCTATGTCGACCGCAAGGGCGCCGAAGAACGGCCGGTGGTATATCTCCATCTTAGCAAACGCCCAAACCTTGGCTGTGTGACCGTGCTTCGGGGCCGGGACGTTCAGAGCCTGGGAAGACAATGATTCAGGCAAGAGCCTCCATGAACATTCGTCAAGTCCTGGCTGTCTCATCCCCGCATGGGATACTGGGATACATAGTAGACTGCACTCAGACCCTGGACCCAAAGTTCGGATCTCAGAAGCCACGTTGGAAAGACCTTGCGCATTCCAGGACGGCAGAGTGTGGAGTACCTGGCAGATTTCGGGCGTGGGACTTTGGTGTCAGGGTGGAGCTTCAACTGCTTAACTGCTTAATTGAATTCAAAGCCCTAAATTGTGAGGCCTAAAACCTTAACCTTTAAACTCTCATCCCTTCGAGTCAATGGTTCTGAGAGGTGCCTCTGCGGAGATGGTAGAGTAAACCTCCGGAGCATAGATGCGGAGCTTGGCGAAGGACCAGGTGGTGTTGCCAATGTGCTGGGAGGACCACCTGGGTTCACGGTTTAGACATCGAGCCTAGGATCTAGGCTCCTAATCCCCAAAACCCTAAAGCGCAAGCTTGAGCCAATGTCGTAGAGTTTTGAAGTGCTCTCAGGGAAGAAGCGCTCCTAGATGACAGCCTGATCCTAGAATAGCTTCTTCAGCTGCAAGACTAGTACCATTTCTGTTGCTGGGAACTCGCCCCCAAAACGGATCTAACATGCTTGCTGAAACTTCATTTCACGGGGAGCTATAAATATAGAGTTGCTAGTACCTTCATTGCGCTGACAATTGCTTTTCACTACGAATATATATATATATATTACTTTCCCCGTAGTTGCTAAGTGCCCTGATGTTTCCTTTCCAACTTTAACAACTTGTTTAGGATCCTCTATCAAAGCTCGCACAATACGCAAAAGTTGAATAACTATTCACAGCATCCGCTCATAGTCCCGCCATAAATCAATACACTCCGAAACGCTTTAGTAGGCCCCCCACCGCCCCCGAGTGTAGTAACCCGTATATATGAACTTGCAATGATCCCTTACAAGGTAGGGACCCCCGTACGCGTGCCCAGCCGCCGTGAGATGCCCAGACGCAGCTCCCGGGCGATCACGTCGGTGAACTTCGCATGTTGGAAGGCCAGGGTTGCCTGAAACAGAGCTGGCTTAGGCGGAGATTGGGTTTGGGGGTCTGGGGGATTAGAGGCTTGGGTTTGGATTCGGCTCCTCCCTGCTTGGGCTGTGCAACTCGTTTTGGGTTTGAGGTTGAGGTTCCTTTTATCAACCCACCAGGCTGCTTCACAACTCGGACAATTGCCACCAGAGGTCTCAGTTCAGGGTTGAGGGTTGGGTCTTCACCTGTCCGGGGCCTAGCCCGCAAACTCGAAGCCAGCCCGAGAACCGAGACCCTGTAGTCACCAAGTTGCAAAAGCCCAAGTCATGTTCGCGAGGCCCTGCGGATCAAAATCCGCGACGCTCTTCAACGCTTGCTCCGCCAAGAGCGAAAAAAGCTGGGGCGAGTGGTAGGATAGCCTGGGACGCTCTTCGGGCTTAGGTCCCATGGGTCACGGTATTTCGTAGCACTATTCCTACATGCTGCTATGTGACAACGGCGGCGCGATAGGACCCTGAGCATCCGTAAATTACCTTGCTCGAATTGAGCAGGCCCCTGTGCTACTGCCGCGCTTTACGCTTTCGCAACTCGGACTCCGCCAGACGAGGTCTGCTGCGCTTTGCGGTTCATAGGGGTGGTCTGTTGCAAGGCTGCTCGACAGTGGCGTAGCGTAAGGCACTACATAAAGAGGCACCCTCAATGCAGAGGTCCTGTGGAATTGACATGGCTTTCGTGATGCGCCGCTAACCATGCTAGGTGGGCCCTTAGACTCGGTGCTCAACTTAACCGCCTAGTAGGAATGAGGCCCAAAACCTTAAGACACAGTTGCATCGCCAGAGTGGGGGACCAGAGAAAAGGAACGATCCACAGAATGAACCAATGATAAATGCAGCCAAAAGCAGTCTCATGGGGTCATGAAGACAGGTGTATACAAGAAGCAAAGTCGGGGAATCATGGTAGGCATGCGAATACGTACGTAGTTGTGTTAGATTCCGTGAGCATAGACGGGCACAGAAACAAACGAGTCCTATCGTCGGTGTTCGAAGCTCTTTGCTGAATGCAGCAAACAACATCTATTCCGTGTCCCTGCTTTTGAATGCCCTTTCAGTCGGTTTCTGATCTAAACACGAAAACCCCTAACCCGCAACCCGAAGAAGCCAACAGCCCGTGCACATCCTAAACACCAAATTTCGCCAAACTTCAAACTCCTTAAACGCGAAACGCTAGACCTCTCACATAGGTGCCTGAATAAATAGAGTAGGGTCTTGTACAGTATATACTTTACCCACAATAAGGAACCCTGAAGGAATGGTGTTGGCCGTTATCCCGACCCCTACATTCTACCCCAAAACCCGAAAGCCTTGTGAACCCAATCGATCATGTGCAGTGTAGGTTCCTAAAAAACCTAACGGCCCCTCCATTACTCGGCGCTTCAGTACCGCACAGGGATGAGCACATATATTCTTACTTCAAGCAGGTTATAACAGGACTCAGAAACAAAACGAAACAGTGTACCACTGAACAACCTAGATTAACATCTCCGAGAAGCTTTGCCAATGCCCAGGCGCAGTTCGAAAGTCCCTGCGTGCCGAACTCCGATACTCGCAGCAGTGCTTCCCCAGCCACGGCCTGCACCAGCCGCTGGTCACCTTTGGACTTTGGGCTTGAAAGAGGTCTGGGTCTGAGCGAAGGCTCTTTTAGTCCTAGTATCAGCTTTTGGGCATCCCATCCCACCTAAACGAATGGTGGCAAAGCCCCAAACGGCATTGGACAAGCCATGGCCATCCAACTCGGCAGCCCTCTGCGAGAGCTGACCGGTGACGACTTCCTGCACTCGGGTTTGGGGCTGGCTTTCTATTTGACTGCGGGGTCTTGCATCCCTTGCGGGTCTTGTTCAGGCGCTGAGTGGGCCCAATGCAGTTCGGGGTGGCCCCCCAAGGCCCACACTCGAGTTTTGTTTAGGCTTGAAGCTTTGGGGGGGGGGGGGGGGTGGATTGTACTCAGTCAGCAAGACAGCAAGAAGCGCGATCTATTTCAAGGGATGTGCGGCTGCTCGTTCAGGGTGGGACAGCTTTGTGGTTGGATGGTATGGTGGCGACCCAAATCAACTCTTGGGGCGGAGCAAAACTAGTATGATATAGTTGTATGAGTAGTTGGTCTTTTCGAAGCCAACTCACAAGTGGTTCCAACATTATGATAGTACTACTTCACAGTCTCAAAAACCCCGATTCTACTTCTTCAGGCCCACTTCGTCGCGAAACCAACAAGACCGGACAAAGGCTTGCGAACCCCAAAAGTAGTATAGGAAATTATTNNATTATTCAGGCCCCTGTATTATTCCTGCTGTGGGGGGGGGGAATCACCTTACCTAGGCCTGTGAACCTCGCAACGCAAACTGTTTCCAAACCCTGAACCCCCCTACCGGCCATGTATCTGACGCCGCCACCCCTGAACGGCCTAGGCCTACACGATCAGAAGAATTGCTGACCACTGCCCGGCCGATGAGCTTGACCCTGGAATAGAGTTGAATAAAGCCGTGATCTTCGCGTACTAATCCAAACCTTGAGCCTTGAACTTAGACTCCAGAAACCTAAACCCACGCCGTTAACCTGAAGCCAGGGCAGCCCTGACACCCCAGATCCGTGGG